ATCAAAGTACAAGGACCTTGAAATAGAAATCGCGAAAATGTGGCATATGGGAACATCAACAATCCCTGTTGTAGTTGGAGCCCTAGGACTGGTTGGAAAAGATTCCAGTAGACTAATTGAAGGGATTCCTGGAAGTCCATGCCTCAAGGAGATACAAAAAATTGTTCTGACAAGTACAGCCCACACCTTACGAAGGGCTTTATCTATGTAATCTTTTTTTTTTTTTTTTTTTCAGTGGAAAGTGTCATGACGCCATTTCTAACCTTAGGTCCCTGGGCGGGACCCGGAAAGAAATGTGTAAACGCCAGAAATCAAAGAAAATAAAAATAATAATAATAATAACACACCCCCAAATGAAGGAAAAAATAAGAAAAGAGTACTACAGGCGTGTACGTCTGGTACTAAATACTGAACTAAACTCAAAAAACAGAATATCAGCTATAAACACATTGGCTGTCCCTGTGGTGCAATACAGCTTTAATGTCCTTAACTGGACCATTGCTGAAATTAAGCGAATGGACGCCAAAACGAGAAAAACTTCTCACTTGCTATCGCATGCATCATCCCAAAGCTGATGTTGATCGTCTGTATGTGCCCAGATCCGAAGGAGGCAGAGGATTAGTTCAACTAGAACTGTCCTACAAAACTACAACAATTGGCCTCCAAAGATACTTGGAAACTACAGAAGACTGGACGATGGTATGCGTCAAGGAACATGAAAGTAGTAAGCGTCTTTACTCCGTAATGAAAGAAGCCAACAAATTCAAAATGGAGTTTCAAATGGGCGTAGAGATGCAACTACAGCACAATACACCGGCTGAAACTGAAAAATACTTAAAAAAGACAGCAAAGACGAATGCAACCAACCAGATACAGAAACAATGGCAAGATAAACCGCTTCATGGCCAATACTCTGCCCTTACCAAACAAGCTGACGTAGACAAAACCCGTACCCATCAGTGGCTACGTAGTGCAGGGTTGAAAGCGGAAACTGAAGGTTTTATCCTTGCTGCACAGGACCAATGCTTGTTAACTAGAAATTATCAAGCACATATACTAAAATATTATGTTAGCCCAAAATGCAGATTCTATGATAAATATCCAGAAACGATTGATCATCTTGTATCAGGTTGCACGATATTGGCACCCACTGAATATAAAACCCGGCATGACAGAGTGGACCAATATCTGCACTGGAAAATATGCAACTTCTACGGGAAGGAAACAAAGAAACTGGTATGAACACCACCCAGACCCGGTTACGGAGATAGGACCTGTTACAATTCTATGGGACTACACAATACACACTGACAGAACAATCAAAGCCAACTGCCCAGACATTGTTATCAAAGACCACAAACAAACAAAAAATGCCTCCTTATTGATATGGCAGTCTCTGCTGACTGCAATGTATCTTTGAAGATATTCAAAAAGCTGTCAAAATACAAGGACCTTGAAATAGAAATCTCGAAAATGTGGCATATGGGAACATCAACAATCCCTGTTGTAGTTAGAGCCCTCGGATTGGTTGGAAAAGATTTCAGTAGAATAATTGAAGGGATTCCTGGAAGTCCATGCCTTAAAGAAATACAAAAAATTGTTTTCACGAGTACAGCCCACAACTTACGAAGGGCTTTGTCTATGTAATTTTTTTTCCAGTGGAAAATGTCATGATGCCATTTCTAATCTTAGGCCACTCGGAAAGAAATGAGTACATCAATCAAAGAAAATAATAATAATAATAATAATAATAATAATAATAATAATAGTGGTTTGGAAACAGAGTCATTACAATAACATTTTTTTTTTTTGCTGAGAAAAGCGATGACACTTCGGAAAGTACTTTATTTGTATTTGCGATAGAAATAATCTGTAAAAAATGTTATAAAGTTTAATTTACCTAGTTTTAAGTATAGCTAAAATAACTAATGTGATTTCAGGCATTACTGTAAATCAGTTGGCAAATATTTTCCGTGAACTGCAAAATCGTATTACCCTTTGTGTTGCTAATGATGGAGGACATGTGGGAACTTAAATAAAATTTCAATAAAACCTTAAAAAATATAGATTTACTTCTTTCTAATCCTTTTTACAGATTATTTCTATCGCAAATACAAATAAAGTTATAAATTTTTTAAAGTGCACACGAACTTTATGGACACTCTGTATTTGGGAATGGTCAGTCATTGGACTGAGGAATCGGAAAACCGAGTTCGAATTCCAGTCGAATCCATTTACTTACCTTGGGAAAGATATAAATCCTCTTCTTCTCACCCCTCCCCCCAGCTATGGGTAAATAGCAGGACAGGCCGGGTTCTCCAGCCTTGGATGGCGATTGGTCTACTGCAGAAAGAAATGGCAACCTACTGAGGGAAAACATTCTGCCTCATCAGTCATGTATCGAAAGATACGTGATTGCCTAAGCATGGCACATAACTGACTGACAGTCAGTTAGGTACTACACGCTTGGGTAATCATATATCTTTCGATACATGACTGACGAGGCAGAATGTGGAAGGCTAACGAAACAATTTCTGTCCTACTATTCAACACATTAAAATATTAATAAAACAAAGTTTTATCGGGAAAAAGTTTACGCTATTATTAAGAGAAAAGACCAAAGTATTTTTTGATTATTTTCTAAAAATGTTTTATTCCTTTCTAGCACGTTTGAAATTTTGGTTGGAAAGTCAAATGTTGCGAAATATTTAGCATTGTTTTTTTTTTTTTTCGCGCTTTTTTCAGTTGAAAAACACATTAATTTGGAAATTCTTGCAAAAATCGAATAATTGTCGGATTTTAATGAAACTTTCAAAACTTATTAAAAAATGAATTAAATTATTTTAGAAATGTCTGTTTTTTTATAAATTCATAGTAATTTTTTTTACATCTGTTACCCCCCCCCACACACACACACTTAATTTTATGAAAACTTGATAAACCCGAACTGTAATTCACTTTTTTTTTGTTTTTATTACATGCAGAAGACTTTGTAAAATTTTTACGTCATTGAACATAATCATAAGTAAATCATTGGAACTTTTCTGTTATTTCACCCAAAATAATGTAAAATTACTAATCGAAAATATTAATTCACCCCAAGAAATTATAAATTTGAAATCAAATTTTGTTTAGCTTGCCTTGCAACAATTCCAACTCTCAGAATGAAAAATTAACAAAAATCAAAGTGTTATTCTCATTTCGTAAGTGCGAATGTTATTCGAAGTACTTACAAGGATTTTTTTTACAATTTAAAAAAAAAAGGAAAGAAAAAATATCTGTTTTGGCTTGTTTATCCGCGTGAGCGTGGATGCAGATCCCACACTTAGAAATAGCGCACTCGAGTCGTCCACATTTAGGGCGATCGCAAAGGTCAATCCAACCAGAGTGCAACGTAAGGGCCTCGCCCTGGGAGAATTTGTTGTGAATTTTTAGTAAATATAATTTTTTTTTTATTTGGGGAGAATTAATTAACAGAAAAGATCGTCCAAATTATACCATCATGAAAATAACTATGTTTTAAGAGAGAGAGGGGGGGGAGAAAACGAGAGAGAGAACGAGAGGCAAAAAGAAAGAGAGAGAGGAAGAGGGAGAGAGAGAAAGAGAACGTTAGAGACAAAGAGAGAGAAGGATAGAAAGAACGAGAGAGTAAAAGAGAGAACGAGAGAGAGAGAGAAAGAACGAGTGGGAGAAAGAGAGAGACCGAGAAAGAGATCGAGAGAGAGGAAGAGAGAGAGAAAGAGAGAACGATAGAGACAAAGAGGGAGAGAGAAAGAGAGAGAGAGAGGGAAAGAGAACGAGAGAGAAAAAGAAAGAACAAGAGAGAGAAAGAGAGAGAACGAGACACTGAGAGAGAGAAACCGAGAGAGAGGAAAAGAGAAAGAGAAAGAGAGAACGCTAGAGATAAAGAGAGAGATAGAGAGAAAGAGAAAGAGAGAACGATAGAGACAAAGACAGGGAGAGAAAGAGAAAACGATAGACACAAAGAGAGAGAGAGCAAGAGAGTGAGGGAAAGAGAAAACGAAAGAGAAAAGGAGAGAACGAAAGAGAGAAAGAGAAAACGAGAGGGAGAAAGAGAGAGAGAGGACAAGAGACCGAGAGAGAGGAAGAGAAAGATAGAACGATAGAGACAGAGAGAGAGAGAGAGAGCAAGAGAGAGAGAAAAAGAGAGAGAGAAAGAGAGAGAGAGTGAGAGAATTAGAGACCGAGAAAGAGAGAGAGAGAGAGTCTGAGAGAGAGGAATTGAGAGATAAAGAGAACGATAGAGAGAAAGAGAGAGAGACATAGAGCGAGAAAGAAAGAAAGAAAGAAAGAAAGAAAGAGAGAGAGAGAGAAAGAGAAAACGAGAAAGAGAGAGCGAAAGAGAACGAGAAAGAAATAGAGTGCGAGAGAGAGAGAGAGAGAGAGAGAGAGAGAGAAATAGAAAAACAAAGAAACGCAAGCAAACAAACGAATTAAATACAATCTTTAGATAAACTAAAAATTAACCTAAAAAAACAAACACTGCCGTTGATTGGATGTTAAAAAAAAATCCATGAAACACCAAGTACAGATTTACATAAGATAAGTGAACCGTCTTTTTAAAAATTTTTATTTTATTGTTAATAATCATTCGAATGTGAGAACAATCAGTTCCCAGCAACTGGAAAGCAGAGGGAAGCCCTTGGCTGCACTTACGCCGGTTGGCGTTTATTCATCCCCCGAACCGCGCTTCAACTTCCTGCCCTCCTCCCACGCCTCTTCAGAAGTCGCTTCCCCTTTTTCTTTCCCTTCCTGTCATCCGTTCAAAAAGTCAAGGTTATTCGGGGCTCACATCTGTCAATCCACGGAGAACTGTTCCCGCGGTTTATGGGAACAGCGCACTCATATTGAAGGTCGTAGCCGGCACACACACACGCACACATTCATGTGTTGCCATAGAAAAAAAAATCTATTTTCCAAATAAGGTTTATTTTCTATTCATTGTAAAATAACTGTTAGTAGAGATATATATTTTTAATTCTGGTATTTGACATTATCATTCTTAACCAGAGCATCCGTTGGCGGGAGGAAAGGGAGGACGGGTCATTTTTCCCTCCTACTGATACAGCAGGTCATTTGCACTTTGTCTACTTATTAATGTTATAGTGCATTTTTTATGTAACCTTAACTAACATATAACGAGGCTTGCCGAACAGTTATCTACAAACCACCCAGAAAACGAGTCCTTGTGGGGGACGAATTATTTTTCATCTATCAACCTATCTCTCACAGGCGAGATGTAGCGAGACTCTCGCTACGCTATCGCTACTACCATGAGAAGTGTTCGGACGAACTATATTACTTAGTCTCTTACTGCTTATGTCAGAGGGCATCCCCCAGACGAGGCTCTGTCGAAGGGCGGAGTCTCGTCTCGGGAAACTGACTCCGTTTTTACGTGGTCTATCGGGAATTTTTGCCCGAGCCCACGGGCTCGGATACCCCACTTTAAAACGCGGCCTTGTGCCACATCTCGCTGCGTGGGGCAGTGGGTAAATAATTACTTGGTCTCGCCAGGTCTAACCTCCACAGCTAGGACCCGTCTAGCCTCTTATAACGCAGCAAACCACCCACATTCCCCCCATATCCCATCGATGAGAATGAGTTCCACTCGAACAGCTTCTTCCTGCGAACCACTTCCCTGTGGAATCGACTTCCAAGAGGATGCTTCCCTGATCACTGCAATCTGCTCAAGTCTAGGGGTAACCGTTATCTTCCACTCCTATCCGTACAAACTGCCTCCGAATGTAACCCTCTACCTCGAGTGGCTCCCGGGCCTTGCACATGTTTCTATTTTGTCTATGTGCCATGTCCCTTCAGGACGTTAGCGATGATGACACTCTACAATTTTCTGTCATTTGTAAGCTCTTAATAAATTTTTGCCTTTTTGTTATCTCCCCCTCCCTTTTGCTTTCGATCTGTCCTGTGAGTATCAAATTTTCCAAGCCTTCTTTCCTCATTATGTTCCCTGGAAATTTCAACTCTCTCTTCTTGATGTTAAGTATAAGTATCCTTTTTGTTTCCATTTCCTTTATGACTAACTCGCATGATCGATCTTTAATATTCTCAGCATCCTTCTGTAGAATCACATTTCTGTTGCTTCAAGTTTCTTTTTCATCTGTTATGAGATTGTCTGGCATTTATTGACGTATAGGAGGACTGATATTACATAGCAGTTCAGCACTCTTTTCTATCTTTCTAAGGAAATTTTCTTTTTTCTTAATATTTTGCTTAGCTTTTGGAAGGCGTCTTTCGCTATCCCCATGCACGTTTGGATTTCAGTGTCGCACTTTCCGTCCTCTGTTTCTTTTTTTTTTTTTACGGCATATCAACCTCAATGGGTCATTTAATGCCGACAATTTTTTTTTCCTGGTAATATTTTTGTTTTGTCAAAAATATATTTCCGTTAGTATTTTTTTACCTCAAAAACGTATAGCTGGTAATATTTTTTATTTTTTTGCGCTGAACATTGTTGTATGCCATCCACTTTTCATCACCTGTTATGAACTATTTAAAGAATGGTTAGTTAGGATGATCTATTCGTCGTTACAATTGGTTTCCCCAAAAGAGAAATTACTTATGACACAACATAGTATATATGAGAACTTACGCGGGACTGCTGAAAAGTTCTCGGCCCAGAAAAATATCTAATGTTTGGTCATTTGGCTAGATTTTGAAAAGTACTACAACCAACGCAAAAGGTTTTTGCTACGTGGCCGGCATTCATTCAGCGTGGTCCGAAAGTCTTGTTGCCCTATCACATCTCTTCCACACCGGGAGAGCTCGTGTCAGCCATCTGAAGTAGAATGTATATATATATATATATATGTAGGGGTGGCAAAACTTTCGGATCACCCTGTACATTGAAACATGTCTGTTAATAAAAATATAAGTGTATAGTGACTTTACAAAAATCTTGTACATTTTTGTTACATTAACATTCTCGAAAGATATTAAAAACGAAATTAGTGATTCTCAATTAAAGAAATATAAGAAAACATTTTGATACCTACGATCCATATTATCTGGCCCAGGGCCCGTCCCTGTGCTGGTGGTATCACGGCTACGACCAGCTCTGACCAGCTTGGACAAGCTATGATCAGCTCTGACCAGCTTAGACCAGCGGCCCGAGTGAAAACACTCGGGTCCCCACGTTAAAAACCGTCCTTGTGTCACAACCTGACTCAGTGGTGGTGGTGAAGGGTCAGGTAAATCTCTACTATCCATATTTTTAGAGCGAAGAATAACTATTTGGGTGTTATTGACCAGTGAGGAATTCTTCAGTTAGAGCACTTCGCAACGATGCAGATGAACGTGTCAGAGTCAGCTCCTCCTCAGTTCCTTAATCCTTCACTAGGGGTCTCTCTCCCTTGGCTATAAATACTGGGTGACCTTTTGCCTCGATCTCTCTTTTCCCTCAAACCCTGAGCCGTATCCCACCTCGCGTGGAGGTGAGGTAATTCTTTTCTCTTCTTTCTTCATTTCAGCTAATACCAATATGTGAGCTCTCACCAATACAGCGTTTCCCAAATTCTGGGAACACGCTAAGAACAATACCAATACACGTACATACGAACACTCACCACAATACACACACACAATATTCACCACACTAACTCAATGTAACTGTCCACGTGCTTGTAACTTGTTAATACATACATTTGTATATATGTAATTATCGGTCTTGTTTGTTTTCTTTGTCTTCTTTGAACTTAATTAAAGTCCAACATTCTCAGGTAGCTGGACCGGCTATCAGGAAATTTTAACCCACGTGTTTTCTTTACATCTCCCCCCACCACGGTCCTCTACAAACGGTCAATTTGGGGCCCGTAAAATAGTTGATTTCAACGTTACATTAACGTCCCCACAGCATCACTTGCCCCACCCCAACAAAAATCAATGCTGGCAACGTAGCAAGAACGTTACGTGTTGGTTGTAGTACTTTTCAAAATCTAGCCATATGACCAAACATCACATTTTTTTCTTGGCCGAGAACTTTTCAGCAGTCCCTCATAAGTTTTCATATGCTATGTTGTGTCATAAGTAATTTCTGTTTTGGGTAAACCAATTTTAACGACGAATAGATCATCCTAACTAACCGTTCTTTAAATAGTTCATAACAGGTGATGAAAAGTGGATGACATACAACAATGTTCAGCGCAAAAGCTAGTGGACCGACAAGTATAAGTCTCCACAATCGACCCCGCACATAAAAAAAGCTGAGCTCCAAGAAAAGTACTTGGATCTTTGCAGGGTTATTCAATGTCCGCCGACAAGACCGCATACAGCAAGAATAACATTGGAAAAAATTTTGGAATTCACTCGACAAATTCTCAAGAGCAAAGAAAATGTATTTCAAACGTTTAGGTTTTATTAAAATTCTAATAATCGCTTTTTAAAAACTATAAACGTTGCCAAGGAGTGAAGGTAATTTAAATAATAGCGGTGTCAAGGAAAAAAACCGACCTTTTGATATTCCGCTTTTTTTTTTTTTTTTTTTTTTTTGAGTACGAAGGTTCGAGTTTTGCCAAATTTATATCTATATAATAAATGCGAATGTGACAGTGTCACACTTTTTTCTACTTTACGGACTAATAGTGGAAGTGAGGTCCGTTAAAGCCGATAGTCCGTAAATGGGAAGGAATTATTTTTGAGTTATAAAACCACTATAGTAGCTACCAGTAGTTATGATCATAATGTAAATACTATAAACATGTATATATGGCATAAATCAATATATACTTAATATAGATTTATTAATCAAAATAACAAAAATAGTACATTTCTCACAGCTACTTTCTCACGCACGCTCTAATGTATCGTACTTTATACACTTTACATAATATCAGACCTCCAATATGGCAGTGAATGCTGGACAATTTCCTCACAGATGAAGAAGAGAGTTGACAAAACAGAAATATGGCTCTACAGAAGGATGTTGAGAATACTATGGACCGAACATGTGACAAACGATGAAGTTTTACAGAAAATGGAAACAAAAAAGACATTTATACTTATCATAAGAACGATATAGTCCAATTTTCGAGGGTACATAATGAGAAAAGGGGGCTTAGAAAATTTAACACTCACAGGACATATTGAAGGCGAGAGAGAGCGATGATTAGTGCATAATCTACATAACGAGCTTGTGGAAATGGATGTCAGAACAAGGTTTAGGAGATACTTCAAAAAAACTAATTTACAAAGAGTTACAAAGGACAGGAAATTGTGGAGAGCCCTGGTCGCCAACGACCTAAAGGAACATAGCAGATAGATTAAATACTCCAGATCACACATATATATATATATATATATATATATATATATATATATATACAAACCTCTCATCAATGGACTAATAAAGAGGAGGGGTGATCCGTTAAAGCCGATTGTCCGTAGATGTGAAGGAATTATTTTTGAGTTATAAAACCAGTATAGTAACTACCAGTAGTTTTGATCATAATGTAAATACTATAAATATGTATATATGGCATAAATATATATTTAATATAGATATATTAATCAAAATATCAAAAATAAAAGATTTCTCACTGCTACTTTCTCACGCACGCGCTATATATCGTACTTTATATACTGTACACCTGTCTTTGTTTAGAACTGAAAGGCCTGACCAAGCGGTTACTTTGAGAACTAATACGACACGTTCCACTAAGCCCGCAAATTTTGTAATATATTGCTGACGATTTGGAAGTTTTTTTTCTGCGTTTTTTTAATTTTATTTTGCGTACAAGTTTTGTCCGTTACATCCGAAGTCCTTAGATGAGAGGTTTGTCTGTATTGAATTTGTTACATTAAATTCAGTAAGCATATACTTTCTTTTCTCTTAAATTCTAATGAACAAATTATGGGGAGATATTGTCAGTTAACTTCAACATTCAACACTACCTCATGAGTGGGTGTTGGGTTTTCGATATTCTATTTCGGTAGCCTGAATGACTTTTCCCCGTTAACCATCCCACTCGTTCCACTGTTCTCCTACGCGATCTTTAAATGGTTTGTTGAGACACACATCCAGTTGTGTTTTTGTTCAACATCATCGGCAAAAGGAGGTGAGATATTGTCAATTAACTACCACAATCTACACTTACCGTTACCCCTACCAGAATACACCCAGTATAATTACCGTTACCCCTACCAGAATACACCCAGTATAATTACCGTTACCCCTACCAGAATACACCCGGTACACTTACCGTTACCCCTACCAGAATACACCCAGTATAATTACCGTTACCCCGACCAGAATACACCCGGTGCAGTTACCGTTACCCCTACCAGAATACATCCGGTACATTTACTGTTACCCCTACCAGAATACACCCGGTACACTTACCGTTACACCTACCAGAATGCACGCGGGACACTTACCGTTACCCCTACCAGAGTACACCCAGTATAATTACCGTTACCCCTACCAGAATACACCCGGTGCACTTACCGTTACCACTAGCACAATACACCCGGTACATTTATTGTTACCCCTACCAGAATACACCCGGTGCAGTTACCGTTACCCCTACCAGAATACACCCGGTACATTTACTGTTACCCCTACCAGAATACACTCGGTACACTTACCGTTACACCTACCAGAATGCACGCGGTGCAGTTACCGTTACCCCTACCAGAATACACCCGATCCACTTACGGTTACCCTTACCTGAATACACCCGGTCCACTTACCGTTACCCTTAACTGAATAGACCCGGTCCAGTTACCGTTACCCCTACCAGAATACACGCAGTACACTTACCCTTACCCCTACCAGAATACACCCGGCATACTTACCTTTACTCAGTAATGATATCACGATCAGTTGCCGTAAGTGTCAATACTGGTTTGGTTTGTTTAGTTTTACGGGATATCAACCTTGATGGGTTATTTAATGCCGACAAGATTTTTATTGCTGGTAATATTTTTTCCAAAAATGTATTGCTGGTAATATTTTTCCTTCAAAAATATATTGCTGGTAATAATGTATTGCTGATAATAATGTATTGCTGGTAATAATTTTTCCTTCAAAAAATTTATTGCTGGTATTAAAACCTATTTTTACGCTTTCATAACGTTTTAACTCCAGTTTAATGGTTAACTATTTGCGCATAGTGGGACCCTAAGGTGCTACCATCCCGGGTCAGGGTGGACCTGGGAACACCAGCAATTAAGAAGTGGTTCCACACTCCTCAAAACCTCCTGATCAGAGGCCTTGCTGCTGGACGTAGTTTATCGTCTTACCCAGGACACGGATGTAGTTTATCGTCATACCAAGGACGGTGTAAACACTGGTGATATCACGTTAAAAAAAGATTAATATATGGGCGTCGAATAAAATAACCCCATTTTATTCCTTTTTCAACCTACTTTATTTTTACCATCCCATTTTACTTTTACCAACACATTTTATTTTTAACCAACCCACTTTTTTACCAACCCGTTTTACTTTTACCGACGTATTTTATTTTTACCAACACAATTTTTACCAACCCATTCTTTTTACCAACCCATTTTATGTAGTAAAAGATTAACAAGTTTAACCCCATTTTCTAAATTTATAACCTATTAATAAAAATAAATTTGTTAAAGCAAGATAAAACAAATATTTTAAGTTATTTTTAGAATACTGTTATTATACTACGCTTTTATTATTTCGTCATAATAATGCGAAATAAGCTGTTTCGGTAGAAAATATTTGTATCGATGTTTACCAAGGCAGGGGTTAACTTACCGTCAAAAATCTCCTATGTATATTTTACCATAAACCGTAGGATTTAAAGTTCACAATTCTGCACTATAAGACCATCCCCTATATTGGGGGGGGGGATTTTAAAGTTAAAGGTCGCCTTGTACGCCAACATATGCGGTACATTTTGGAACCCTTTTTTTTCTAACAGGTTATTCGTCTTCAATAAATTTCTTTGCCAGTTTTTGAAAATTTACATTAATATCCGGCTTTCCAGTATTTTGAAAGCAAGGTTAATATTTCTAGATTTTAACACTTTTCTGGAGATAGTAATGATTTTTACTGATACCAGCCCTACTGTTTAACCCATAGATTGGGGACAGAAGAGGCAGACACATACATTTCCCCCAGGGTATTTACTCATAAGTGAATATAACAAACCCGACTGGAATTGGAACTCGACTCACTGATATCCAATATTGAACCGTTACTCATTACACCCGCACATCCAAGCTTAAAGCGCCTGGTTTTACCAAGCGGTCACCCATCTAGATACTGACCAAGCTCAATGTTGCTTAATTTCGGTGATCATACGAGAGCCGGTGTTTTGGTGTGATATACCGTTAGCCTTTTGAAAATTGGGATTCTCACAGTGACTTGATTCGTGTCACATTTTTTTTCTTGAAGTCCCTGAGTCATACTGACCAAGCTCAACGTTGCTTAACTACGGTGATCATAGGAGAGCCGGTGTTTCTTGAAGTCCCTGAGTCATACTGAGACGTGTAATAAAAAAATCCTTTGGGATATGAATATTTTACGGGTTTTGTTTTGTTTTACGGCACATCAACCTCAATGGGTCATTTAATGCCGACAACTTTTTTTTTCCCTTTTAATATTTTTGTTTTCTCAAAAATCTATTTCTGTTAATATTTTTTTCCTTAAAATAGTATTGCTGGTAATATTATTTTTCCAAATAGTATAGCTGGTAATATTATTTTTTCAAAGACGTATAGCTAATAATATTTTTCCAAAACGTATAGCTGATGATAATATTTTTTCAAAAACGTATAGCCGGTAATATTATTTTATTCAAAAACGTATAGCTGGTAATATTATTTTTTCAGAAATGTATAGCTGGTAATATTATTTTTCCAGAAAACGTATAGCTGGTAATATTTTTTCAAAAACGTACATCTAGCAACATTATTTTTCCAAAAACGTATTATCAGAGGCGTTGCTGTTGGACGTAGTTTATTGTCATACCCAGGACGCAGATGTATTTTATCGTCATACCCAGGACGCGGATGTCGTTTATCATCATACCCAGGACGCGGATGTAGTTTATCGACTTGCCCAGGGCGCGGATGTAGTTTATCGTCATACCCAGGACGCGGATGTCGTTTATCGTCTTGCCCAGGGCGCGGATGTAGTTTATCGTCATACCCAGGAGGCGGATGTCGTTTATCGTCTTGCCCAGGGCGCGGATGTAGTTTATTGTCATACCCAGGACGCGGATGTAGTTTATCGTCATACCCAGGACGCTTTACGGGTTTTATGCCAGTGTCTGTTTTAGTATACAGATAATTCTGTGCTATCCACCTTTGGTAATTGTTTTTGAACGTAACGCCCAGCAGGATATAGAGTGCAAAGGACTCAATAACGCAGACTTTCTAAAGCTGAGTTACATTGCATTGAAATCTGATGGTTGGATATATCGATCATTGATTGGTTCTAATATATGTGACGTAAGTGGCTCATGCCTAATATTTCTTTCATATTAAATCTCACTCAATGGCCAGTAGTCGGCCGGAAAATAACTGTAAACAATGAACTAATCGATATTTTCCATGGAATCAAATTGTTGGGTAATTCTTTGTTAGCTGTTTCATAAACGAACGAATATTACAGTCCAATGAGTAGGGACCATACTATCATAGAATCACATTCATCACAGCGTGAAGATAATGGCGTACGTTTTCTTCTTTTAGGGATCAGCTTTATTGTCGTAAGTTAATATTAACTGAATATTTAGGATTGAATATTTACTGTAGGTACTGTTTAGAAAATCTCAACCCCCACCAAAGTCTAGAGACGGTTCAGGCCGAGGAAAAGAAGCATAAGAATTTACCGTAAGTTGCGAAAGAAAATTCCTTTCCGTGACGTATCATGACCGTCTAATAACTTGCATTAAGTAAATAAAATAAAAAAAGAGGGGGGGAAGCACTTCTCTTATAACTACTTCAGGGATCACGTGGTGATAGAGTCACGTGATCCCTGTAACTATAAAAAGTTAGTAAAAACGTAACCACTTTTAGTTAGTAAGAAACAACAACCCAGGTAAGTACATTGTTTTTTCTCTCGCCTGAACAGTCAAATTCTTCATTGTACCACCACAGAAAACGCGATAGCTAAGGTTTAAAATGATTTTTGTAAAATGAGAAATCTTTCTTGAAGCTTTTATTTTAGTTTTAACTAGCAGCATGGCCCGGCATTGCCCGTGCTTGATTAAAAATCGTACGACTCATACAGCAATCGCTATCACTTGACTTAAAATATTTTTGCCAAGTAATATATATAATTTTTACTTAATAATAATATCACACAAAAGGGTAGAATTAAAACAGTATTTTAAAATATTTCAAACTTAAATTATTGACTTAAATTATTTTAATTAAAATTAAAAAATTAAAACAATTCTGAATATTTGTGAATAAATTCTGAGAATTTTATTAAAATCCGATAATTATTTGATTTTTGCAAGAATTTCTAAATTAATGTCGTTTTTTTTACCACACAAAAGATGTTAATTTTTTCATACTAATCTGAGGTAAGAGAACAAAATTTTTAAGTAAAATTTCGAACGTACTAGAAAAGATTAAAATATTTAATAAAATAATCAAAAATACTTTGGTCTTTCCTCTTAATAATAACATAAATAAAACCTTGTTTTTACCAAATTTGGGGCCTTTGTTTCGCTGTATCACAGCTCATCAGTGTGGCTAGACATCCGTTTGTTTCAAGCCCGGGTCGAATCTCGATCGATTTGACATCAGTCAGAGACTCTTACGACTAGGCATTCGGCGCAGGACAGAGAAAAGGAATTTTTAACGCATTATATATGTGCTATATAAATGCCATACCGGCCGCCATAGCTCTCAGTTCTTACAAAGAGTGATGCATTCAAGCAATTCCCTTTTCTCTATAGTGCTCAATCGGCGAACGAGAGACTCAGTTAAAATATAAATATCAAGATTAAATTTCGTATAAAAGGATATAAAAATGTCCAGAAGAAATTCAAGAAAACTATAGAAAAGAAATACGGAAGAATGAAATAAAAATAAGTTAGAAGAAAGAAAGAAAGAAAGAAAGAAGGAAAGAAAGAAAGAAAGAAAGAATGAATGAATGAAAAAAGAGAGCAAACAGGAAACAAGCTGATAAAAAGAAAAGAAACGAAAGTAAAAAAAAAAAAAAAATAGAGAAGGAGTATAAAGAGTAAAGAAAAGCCCTTCATAATAACGGAGAAGCTCGTGCCGTGGCTTTAGATATCTCCAAAGCGTTTGATAGGGTTTGGCATGCCGGCCTTCTTCGCAAGCTTCAGGGTTATGGAATTAGAGGTCGATTGTTTGACTTAATACAATCATTTCTGTTAAACCGTGTATTGAAGGTCGTTCTCAACGGATTATCCTCCAGCTGCTATCACACGAACGCAGGTTTTCCCCAAGCCTCCATCCTAGGCCCTACTCTGTTCCTTATCTTCATCAACGATCTTCATGACGTCATAGATTCCCAAGTAGGCATCTACGCGGACGACACTACAATTTACTCCTGCCTCAAAAACAAACCTAGTGTCGCCGACAAAACTAACCTGGCCGTTCGTCTCGAAAATGACCTCCAATCGATTGTGAACTGGGGCAGGAATTGGCTGGTTAACTTTAACGCCTCAAAGACAAAACTGCTCTCTATTAATCACCACAGAGATCCTTCTATGCCCCCCCCATTAGAATGTCTGACGCTCAACTTCTCGAGAGTTCCTCTTTGCGACTACTCGGTCTCACATTGGCCGCTGACCTGAGATGGAACAAATACATTGTGTCAATAGCTTCGTCCACCGCAAGGAAAGTCGGCTTCCTGTGCCGCACCAGGAAATTTTTCTCGACGGAGTCGATCCTTCAAATCTAGAAATCAACCATTCGCCCTTGCATGGAGTATTGCTGCCATATATGGTCCGATGCCCCTTCTGTTTGTCTCAAGGTTCTTGGTAAAATCCAGAGACGGATATGCAATGTAATTGGCCCTAATCTGGCATCTTATCTGCAGTCGCTCTCTCACAGACGTGCCGTCGCCTCTCTCTTTTTTTTTTTACAAATACTTTCATGGTAACTGTTCCGATGTGCTGCTTTCGCTGGTTCCCAGATTTCATGAATTTAAGCGTTCTACTAGGCTGGCATCTTGCTCACACCTGTTCACTGTCGAAACTGTTAAATGTAGCCATCTCTTCTACTCCAGTAGCTTCATGTCTCGCACTTCTCGCCTGTGAAACTCCCTCCCTTTTTCCTGTTTTCCTGATAGCTATAATCTCCAACTATTCAAATGTAATGTCAATCGACGTCTCCAGATGCCTTGATCCTTCTCTTCATCCTTTCCTCTATCACTCCTATTTGGACTCACTCCAATTCTCTGTAACACCCTTGCGTGCTAGTGGCTTCCCGCCTTGCTTGGGGTGAAACACTTAAAAAAAAGAATGAATGAAATGGAGAAAACAGAAAAAAGTGAATAAATTTAGAGGAGAAGGAGAAAGTAGTTTTCAAATCCCGAAGAAAGAAAAAAAAAGATGTGATAAAAGCGATGGGAAAAGAAAGAAACAGAATATAATAAAAAAAAAATGGTTAAAGAAATACGTTAAACAAAACTAAAATGGACGATTCCATTATAACGTGACCTTAATTCTGATTTCTAAAACAATGGAACAATTAAAACAAAGAGAACACGTTTAAAAAGAAAACCATTCTTAGCAACAAACAAGGACAGCATCAATGACATAGCATGACATCCTATTCGTAATGGCAGCCGATAAACCGTGTGTTCGGCGCCATGTTGTTTTATTGAAATCGAGGTAGAAATCCAAGTCATACTAACACATTCTCAAAAATAACTGACTTGTTCGATAACAGTCTCTTCACTGATGACAAGATGATCAAATTTCAAATGCAAGTTACTTCTCTATTTTTAAAAATTAAATTTAATAGAAAACATATTTTAAATATAATGGCTGGCCACTTGTATCTGAGGACATCCGTCCCTGTTGTAGACGCCTGTCTAGACATATTTGTGTTTGTTTATCACACACAAAGCCCACCTTTGGTTTATACTGTAACTATGCTGAGCGGGCCCTAGTTACAGTTCCTGGTGCGTCATGTAACGTGATCAACTGTCTGAACAAGACTAGCACGTTCAAACCCTCGGTCACGATGACTTGTGACTTCGTGCTAGCACAACCATCGACGGCTCCCAAAGAGTCCCGTCTACCTAATTTCACTCACAAGTCTCCTTGGGTCAACCCGTAGCATAGATTTTCAGGCACTTTTCGAAAAGGTGCCGCTCGCTGGGATCGCTTCCCTCAGACAGTTAACATCAAGAAGTCACCTTCCTGACAAATCGACTATGGTGAGATTCGAACTCGGGTCTCATGATCAGAAAGCGAACGTTCTAAGCACTCGAAACTTCAAATAGCTTCACGTTTCGATTCTTTTCCTGTTATCCAAGGGTTGTTGCCAGACAGACAAGAAAATTAGCCCTTGTTACATAGACATACTTTCGAGTTTCATTCAAGTTTAGTGTATGTGTAAGTTTGAGGTGTACGTATATTTTAATTTAATGATGGACCTAAAAATATTTCTACAAAATTTTTTAAAAATTTCATAGAAAAAAAATATTTATTACCAAATAATATCCGAAAAGTTCAATAAATTCTTATAATTATTTGATTTTTTAAGGTTTAATTTGTTTTCCTTGTTGATTTAAGATTTTATTGTTCATCCCGGTATACGGATTTTCCAGATTGAGTCAGTAGAATCTATTATTTCATTATCTTATTTCTCACTCAGTCAAAGAGTGCGTGTGTTTGCATATGGTTGGGCTTGTGTTTAAAATAAATGACGCAAGCACATGTAAGTCACTCACGTACAACACAAGCATATACATTACATTGGCGCATCTAAAGTCACACTCATATAGATCGGCTCTTCTATTATAAATGGGAGTATATAGGTTCGCTTACTGCCCGGTTCAAATACCTTCCCGGAGTAGGGGTTTACTGCCCAGTACAAATACCTTCCCGGAGTAGAGGCTTACTGCCTGGTTTAAATACCTTCCCGGAGTAGAGGCTTACTGTCCGGTTTAAATACCTTCCCGGAGTAGAGGCTTACTGCCCGTTCAAATACCTTCCCGGAGTAGGGGTTTACTGCCCGGTTCAAATAACTTCCCGGAGTAGGGGTTTACTGCTCGGTTCAAATACCTTTCCGGAGTAGGGGTTTACTGCCCGTTCAAATACCTTCCCGGAGTAGAGGCTTACTGCCTGGTTCAAATACCTTCCCGGAGTCGAGGTCTACTGCCCATTCAAATACCTTCCCGGAGTAGAGGCTTACTGCCCGGTTCAAATACCTTCCCGGAGTAGATGCTTACTGCCTGGTTCAAATACCTTCCCGGAGTAGGGGTCTACTGCCCATTCAAATACCTTCCTGGAGTAGAGGCTTACTGTCCGGTTTAAATACCTTCCCGGAGTAGAGGCTTACTGCCCGGTTCAAATACCTTCCCGGAGTAGGGGTTTACTGCCCGGTTCAAATACCTTCCCGGAGTAGGGGTTTACTGCCCGGTTTAAAGACCTTCTCGGAGTAGAGGCTTACTGTCCGGTTTAAATACCTTCCCAGAGTAGAGGCTTACTGTCCGGTTTAAATACCTTCCTAGAGTAGAGGCTTACTGTCCGGTTCAAATACCTTCCCGGATTAGAGGCTTATCTCTTGTTCCCTGCTTAGGATTTAGTTTCCAGTTCCTTCTAATGTCTACTTCAACTCTATCCTTCTAACATCTTCGGCTAAACTCTGAAATTTAATTTGCTGTTTATTTAATTTTCATCGTCAGGAGTAGATAGGTTCGCCTATCGTCCGGTTCACACTCCTTCCTGGTCTTTTGAAAAGGAGTAGACGTTTATCCCTCGTTTCTTGTTTAGGATTGGGTTTCCGGTTCCTTCTAAAGTCTTTTCAGTTACTTTCACTCCATTGTCTCTTAGTGGCATTATCACCTTGCTTGGGGTGAATTGATAAAAAAAAATAGTCTTAATTCCCATATTTCTGTAAAAGAAGAAAAAAAGCCTCTGTACCACCAACAATGTTTATCATGGTGATTTACTAAGCGTAGCTTAGATGTGGCACAAGGCCGAAAGTATGGAGCACCCAGTAAGGATCGAACTCAAGGTTATTTTCTAAGTTTAGCTTAGATTTGGCACAAGGCCGAAAGTATGGGGCACCCAGTGAGGAACGAACTCAAGGTTATTTTCTAAGCTTAGCTTAGATGTGGCACAAGGCCGAAAGTATGGGGCACCCAGTGAGAAACGAACTCAATGTTGTTTTTAAGCGTAGCTTAGATGTGGCACAAGGCCGAAAGTATGGGGCACCCAGTAAGGATCGAACTCACAAATCAGTCCTAATTGATCTAGCTTGTTAACCATTACACCAAATCGACGTGATCAACAAGACGTTTATGATGGGCGCTTTGAAGTGGGTAATAATGAGCGAGCTCGTTCAGTTGACCATTATTACGAAGTAGTGATTACGGTCTTCATTGGGCACCTGAAATCTTTGGCCTTGTGCCAAACTAAGCCAAGCTTAGTCAATAACATGTCCGCCTTAACGTGCTGCAGTTAGCTAGTATCACTTGTAGATCATTAAAAGTAAGTTCGATCTTCGCTGTAGATTTTGGATCCGGTCAAGATTAAAACACCCACGAAGTACAAACATGAACTCTAAATAATTTTATCTGGTACTGAAGGTTATTTTATTTTGTTTGTTTGTTTGTTGTTGTTGTTGTTGTTTTTTATTTTATTTTATTTTATTTTTTTCTTTATTGGTGCTCTTTCTCGCCCCCACACCGAATCGTGGAGATTTTAGTGTTTAGGGAAGCCCCTACGCTGCAAGTCAATGATCAACTGTTATACCTCCTTCTTATTTATTTAATTATTTTTAACTTTTCACTCTAAGCAAGGCGGGAGTGCCACTAGAACGCAAAGGGGTTACAGAAAATGGGAGCAAGAATAAAAAGGCGTGAAAGAGGAAAAGATGAAGAGAAGGATGGGGAATAGATCAAGGCATCTGGAGATGTCGATTGACATTGCATTTGAATACTTGGAGATTATAGCTATCATGGAAGCAAGTAAGAGGAAGGGAGTTACACAACCGGAAAGTTGCAAAAAGCTATTGGAGTAGAAGAGACGGCTATAAAATTAATTTCTGACCTCATTTTCAGCTCTACCATTTTAACTATGACCGTCTACCTTGAGTGGCTCTCGAGACATTTATTAGGCGAAAGTTATTATTAAAATGTTTATGAACACTCTTAGTGAATAATCTCATCAACTTAATCGAACTTTCAATAATCTACGCGGATTTTACATTTAAAGTGAAGTAAAGATTTGACCTCGTAGCCTTCAGGTTAATACTCTAGCGTTAGCGAATGCAAGGCGTCTTTTCTCAGGTTACAGACGTGGAAAACATTCAACAACTTATTAAGATATCAGACATACGAATTTTTTTCCGTTTTATCTGACGCTAGCTGATATGTCAGCGAGTAAATGAGATAAAATTTCACATTTTATTTAATTTTTTTGAATAGAACACAAAAAGGACAAATAGTTTTTTTTTTTTTAAAAAAAAGAAAAAAAAAAGCGGCTTTTCGCCGACTCCCAGTAAAAGATAGAAACAAAGACAACATGGCGGCGAATGTACGCAGATCATATCGCTGTAAAACGAAGGCGGGAAAACGAAAGGTGGGAATAGTCTATGCTGGAGCACAAGAAGAATTTATAAAGCAGAACAAGAGAGAAAAAACAGAGAGGTTTAGAAAGAGAGAAGAATAGAAAGAGAGAGGGATAGAGAGTAAAAAGAAAGAAAAAGAAAAGATAGGGAAGGAAAGAAAGAAAAAAGAGATAGATAGATAGATAGATAGATAGAGATCTCTCTCTCTATATATATCTATCTATCTATCTAGAAAGAGAAAAATCAAAGAAAGAAAATAAAGAACCAGAAAGCGAGAAAGAGAGAGAAAGTGTGAGAGAGGAAGTTAGAAAGAAAGAGCAAAGGAAAGAATGTAAAAGTGAAGAAAGAATGAAAAAAGGAAGGAAAGAAGAATAGAAAGAGAGAGAGTTATAGAGTGTGTAGAAAAAACAGTGTGAGAAAAAGGGAAAGAATGAGAGTGAAAGAAAGAATTAAAAAGTAAGAGAAAGAGAGAATAAGAAAGAAAGAGAGAAAGAGACAGAAAGAAAGAAAGAAAGAAAGAAAGAAAGAAAGTGGCAGAAAGAAAGACAGAGAGAAAGAAAAAAGGAAGAAAGAAAGAAGCGCGGGAAAGAGAAAGATTTATGAAGAAGAAAGGGAAAGGGGAAAGAGAGTGAGGAAGAGAGAAAGAAAGTAAAAGATAAGAGGAGAGAAGATGACTACGTGAGAAAGAGGGATATAGATAAAGAGAAAAAGAGAAAAGGGAGCGATGGAGAGAAAGTGTGTGTGAGAGAGAGAAAGAGAAAGAGAAAGAGAGAGAGAGCAAATGGAGAAAGAAATAGTAATGAAATGAAATTAAAAAATGGCAACTGGAAAAACTTGATTTAAAGAATTTTATTTCTGTAAATACAGGTGATTCATTCTTTTGTAAATAAAGGTAGATTTTTGTCATTATTTTGATGTGAGGATTTTTTTGTTGCTTTTGTATTTAATTGAAAGCGGAAAGAGTTGATCAATCTCTGCAACCTATACAGGAAACCACCAACAGTCTCCTCTCTAACTTTCAAAGGACACCTGCAGTAATGGTAATGGTTAACGAGCCCATCTTTCTCTTCACTGGATGCTCAGCTCTTATCACTGTGTCAGTCAGATGGGGCATACTGCAATCTCTTCCATGGTTTATTAGGCCATAATAACACTTTGCTGGGCGTTGCTATTGCTAACTATTACGATAATTTACCCACGCACGCATGGACTCTCCCAGCTATAAATAGGAGCAGGTACTGCCTTTTGGAGAGGGAAGTTTCCAGCAGTCAGCTCTGACAATCGGACAGATAATTCTTGCTGTAACACTCGTTTGTATATGTTTGTATTACTGTTTCTGTTAATATATTTATCTCAATTCCTCTTTTGTCTTTATTTCTGGCCCTAACAAGGCCACAACAGCTAGCTAGCTAGCTAGCTAGCTAGATAGATAGATAGATAATGAACCGTCTAAGACAGATTGATAGATAGTGTTATGGTAATTTACCCACGCACGCATGTACTCTGCCAGCTATAAATAAGAGTAGAAACTACCTTTTGGAGAGGGAAGTTTCCAGCAGTCAGCTCTTGCAGTCGGGCCGAACATTCTTGCTGTAACACTCTCGTTTGTATATATTTGTATTACTGCTTCTGTTAATATATTTGTTTAATTCAATTCCTCTCTTTGTGTGTTTATTTCTGGCCCTAACAAGGCTACAACACTAACCTCAACAGTAAATATGTGGCGGACCGCGACGTGATTTGGAAGGGCCACATTTCAAGTACGTTTTACGGGATTGTGCTGCTAGCTCATAGCTCAACCCCTCTGAATTATTGTTCTCCAATACAGGCGGCTAACAAAGAATAGAGAGTCCAGTTTACCCTGTTATTTTATACAGATCTAGGGCTGGATGGAAAAAAAACGCGTGCCTGCCAAGCCGATCCATAACTCAGGCCTCGAAATCGAGTTAACGCCAGTAGGCAACTGGGGGCGAACGATTAGCACATGCCTTAAGCGTGTGAGTTCAATACCCGGTTAAGGCAGTGGAGAACTTGGAGAGGGGAATTAACAGGAGATACCTGACAACTGACATCCATTAAAACATGGCACGTGGAACTAGAAGAGTCTACCCCAGTGAGCGAAATAAATGGTTCGGTTCGACATTCCAACCACCTGAAGAAGTCCGGAGTGTACAACGGCCGAAACGTTGTAATAATTATGGCGACAAAGATGAGGAGAATAGTCCGAATAATGTAAATAATGTACCTCATCTCAGAAATATAGACAGAAACTTAAGTATATTATTTAAGATATTGAAGTGAGTATAATGTTTATTACATTTTATTTGAACTTTGCATATTTTGTCGTTAAACAAACTTTTTCGATGCGAAATTCATGTTGTGGGTGTATGCTGTTCGTGTTTTAGATCGGAAAACACGTGTCTCCTGATATATCTATTCCACAACAAAAATGGCGGACTCGGAATGTGAGTCCGAGTAATAAATGTACAAAGTAACAACAAAACATATATATATATATATCAGCACTGCTGATGAGTCCCAATTATAGGACGAAACGGCCGTCCAGTGCTTCCTCTATTTCCTGTTGAGGTTTCTATCAGACTCAATGAATCAATTAAATATAATTATCAAATCCTCCTACTTATTAATATCTGTCTTTATCTTCGCTTGAACCGGCTTCTAATGCTCCAGTCGGCGCGGCTTGGTGAGAGTAGTCGTGGCTCCCGGGGGCACAGTCCTACGGTTACAGAGAACTCAGTAGAGTTCCGCTACGGAATATGTGAGCGAGCGGCGCTAGTTGAGTCTGATTAGGAATCTCTTCGTTAGCGAGGCCCATTTGGTACAGTTGGTATGGTGTTCGCTTGACAACCCATCTGTCAGGGTTTCGATACTTGGTGGTGGATGCGCACTGCTGATGAGTCCCAATTATAGGACGAAACGGCCGTCCAGTGCTTCCTCTATTTCCTGTTGAGGTTTCTCTCAGACTCAATTAAATATATATATATATATCTTACTTATTATAAAACGCAGATTGTGTGTGTCTGTACGTTTATATATTGGATCGGATTTCCTACATTTTTCAACCGATTTCAACAAAACTTCACAGGACTACGTAAAATTACCTTGCGGTGGTTCTGACAGCGCCAAAAATTGGAAAAACACAATTGTTTTTGCACGAAATCAGTTTGAAAACACGATTAAGAGGCATCACGAGAATGAAAGGGGGACAACTCATATCGAGTTATACTTATTATAAAACCCAGGTTGTTTGTGTGTGTGTTCGTTTATATATGGAATCGGATTTCCTACATTTTTCAACCGATTTCAACAAAACTTCACCTTTTTTTGGCAGGTAGTGTTTCTTATAGTCTTGCACACTTTTTTCTTTATTTTTACATTCAGAATGCTTTAAAAATTCCATTTACAAGACAATTGCTTATAATAAAATTCTATTCAATCGGTAGACTCATAACGATTAAAAACAATGTTTTTGTTTGAGTTTGGGTTTGACCAATTCGTAAAAAAAAAAAAAAAAAAAAAAATGCTAATTAAGACATGCGTGTCCGTCAACCTTAAACAATAATCTTTGTCAATTTTATTTTTCAGTCTTTATGATAGTGGATACTTGATCTATCTCTTACTGTTATATCACCGGGCAACGCCGGGCTCCACTGCTAGTATATATATAAACAAACGATAAGTATGCATTAACAAAACAAGGGTATACATAGACAATAGAAGATTGTTGCGTGTGAAAAAACATTGAATACGAAATAAAACATTTAAAGGCTAATCAATGTGAGTGTGTGTAGCTTGGTGGCGGCGAAAGTCCCAGAGAAAATGAATTGAAAGGTACGCGCGCATGTGCATTCCCCAGTGGGAAACGTATTCTCCACATTTGAGCTTCATCTTAGTGTGTACGAGGAAAATAGGAAAAAGAGGATGACAGAGAATATCACTCCCTGTTTATAGGTTTAAGGAGCGTCCCCTAGCAAAAAGAAATGTCCACCAAGAAAGGACCAGATTGCAATTAAATGAGCCAAGGCTGCAGCAAGGACAAGAAAGTCCGGTGCAAATTAAAACCCAGATCAAACGGCAGCCAGGAGAGATTCCAATGGTGAGAATATGCAAAGCCTTAGGGACTCTCAAACTCTTGAACAAGCCGATGACTCAATCAAGAGCTCTTCGATGCAGCTAACTTAAATGCCGCCTTATCAGTCGGCTTTTAAGCTAGTGTATAAGAAATGTAACCAAATCTCACGTAGAAAAATTAATCTAATATAGACGGAAGAAATATTTAACAGGCGTCTGTATTCAGCTATTTTATCTTTTTTAGTCTTTTTTTTAAATTCATTTCACCACAAGCAAGGCAACGAAGCGGCTAAGATGCAAGGAGGTGGTTATTGAGTGTGAAAGAATATAAGCAAAACATTATAAAAGAGAAAAAAAATAAAAGAATATGAATTAAGAACATAAGATAACGATTGACATTGCATTTGCGTTTTTGAAGATCAAATTTGATTGGAAAGCAAGAAGATGGAAGAGAGTTCCACAAGCGAGAAGTGCGATAGAAGAAACTGTTAGCATAGAACTTACGGTTGCATCTAGCTATTTCAATTGCGAAATGGTAAGAAATTGCGCCAGTCTGCGCTTAAATTCATAAAGTCTAGGTACCATAGAGGAAAGTTCAACAGAAAAATTACCATGAAAATATATAGAGAGAAAAGTCACAAGGAATCTACATTAAAGCGGTGGGAAAGTGGCTCAAGACGAGATGCCAGGTCAGGATCATTAACATTGCAGATGCTTCTTTGGATTTTATCAAGGATCTCTAAATATATAGTAGGAGCAACAGACTAGATGTGGCAGTAATATTCAAAGAATAAAAGAATGGTAGACTTTATAAAAATGTAAAAATAGATTCGGGCTATAAAACTTCGGTTGTAAGTTGAGTACAACATTTAGCGATCTGTAGAGAGAAAATGGTGGGTAAAGTATGTTACGTATACTTTCACACGATTACCCTCAGAGAAGGACATTAATCTTTTCTCCCTAGCTATGGGTTAAATAGTTGGCCTGACTTGCTTTGAGGTGGTAATCAGTCCAGGAGAAGGGAAATTCTAAATTCGAAACTATCGTGAAGAGAGATAGGTTTCGTCAGACTATCTTGCCCTATACATGTCACGGCGGCTGTGGCTGCATTATGTGCGATGGTCTTACGAACCTGATGAATTTACGGCTCCGTGACGCACTTCTTTTGATAGCTGTTGGTACCGTTACAGAAATTGCATCTATTTGACGTGCAACAAGTTCCGGGTAGGTCAGCTACTATATATAATGGCGTGTTAATTTTAACGCCTTCAAAACTGAACTTTTCTCCATTAATCATCTGAGAGACCCATCTCTGCCTTCCATCATGGCTGAGGCTAACCTCCAGGAAAACTGACTCGTTGAGCCTTCACGGGCTAACGTTCTCAGCTCAAATGAAGTGGAAAGACTGTATTGAATTCATTGCTAGATCAACTGCTAAGAAAACTGGTTCACTGTGTCGTGCGAGACAATTTTTCTCTCCAGAATCTATCATACATATCTATAAGTCTACCATTCGTCCATTCTTAGAATATTGCTGCCACTTATGGTTCAGTACTACTGCTATTTATCTTGAGCTTCTTGATAAAATCCAAAGAAGAATCAGCAATATTATTGGTTCTGATCAGGCAACTCGACTTCAGTGACTTTCCCACCACCGAAAGGTTGCTTCTTTGTGTCTTTTCTCTAAATACTTTCATGGTAAATGTTCAGATGAGCTTGTCGGAGTTAGCTCTTCCTTAATTCCCTGATTATTCACAAGGGGTCGCTCTCCCTACACTATAAATACTGGGCGACTTCTTGCTTCGTTCTCTTTTTCACTTTGCATTTCAACGAACACATCTACAATGTAAGCTCTCGCAAAAGATAAGCGTCAACCCATTTGTGGGAGACGCCGTGGACATTATACACATACACATACGTACGAACATTCATCAAAATACAATCCCTTCACGTTCACTCGTAAATGTTAATGTCTATGTCACTTGTAAAATTGTTGTTTAATACATATATTTGTTGATATATATATATCGGTCTTGTTTGTTTTCTTTTCATCTTCGGTTGGACACAACTAGAGTCCGCCATTTTCTTGTAGTTGGACCTTCTTCTAGCAGGAAATAAACGCACATGTTCCCAATTCAACAACACTAAACCCACACAGTCCGCTACAAGCTCTTCGCTATGGTACCTAGACTGTATGAATTTAAGCGCAGTACTAGACTGGCGTCGAGATTTAATCAATTTACAGTTGAGCTGGCTAGATGTAGCCGTAAGTTTTATGCTAACAGTTTCTTTTCTCGCACTTCTCGCTTGTGGAACTCTCTTCCAGCTCCATACTTTCCAGCCAATCTGCAAAAATTTAAATGCAATGTTAATCGCTGTCTACTGTCTTCCTGATTGCTCTTTCCTCTTCATGCTCATTATTAATGTTTCTGTTCCTAATTCTTGTGTCTTAGTGGCTTTATTGCCTTACATGGGGTGATACCGATTAAAAATAATTAAACGGCTTTCGACTTATATTGCTGCGGATGAAATCTGGTCTGTCAACCCAATTAGTTAGCATACGTAAATCGTGAAAGCCGTCCTAATTCGTAGATAAACAATAAAGAGATTCGAATGAAATTCAAACTTTCAAAAATGGAATTCGGGGTCATTTTTGGATGTTT